GAGATGGATGCCACATACAAATATCAAAGTCACCCACCTATCTTGATAACCAGTTGAATCTGTCATTCCGTGAAGTTGCTTGACCAAACCTACTAATTTTTTTTAAACGGTCATTTAAACAGCTCACATTCAAGAAAGGTATTTGTGAGACAATCCTAATTAATTGTGTCATGAACTTTTATAAGGTAGCTGCGCACTAAAGGAATACATGCTAATCCGTACATTCTTGGTCATCCAATTCTGCCACTAAGTCTTAAGCAGACATATTCTTTTGTGTAATTTATTGTAAAGGAGACTATAGATCATCACTTAACTGGACTGTGATAGCACCTATAATGTGCTGTGCACCATATAGACATGCAGGAAAAGATAGTCCTGCTTGCAATCTAAAAGACAACTGCAGGCAAAATGATAGGGGTAAGGGAAAACATAGAACCAAAGTGCTCAGGGTAGTGTTTAGTATGCGTCTTATTTCCATATTGTTCCATTCATTTTTATTGGATGGGATGAGAGAGAATGGCAGAAGGAAGGTGTGAATAAATAGGAGAAAGGAAGAAGAGGAGGGCTTTAGGGAGAAAAGGCAGGAAAGGCAAAGGAGGAAAACAGAATGTGGAGAAGTATGGAGGGCAGGGAAAGTCAGGCAGGCAGTTGGATAGTAGAAAGTTGGGAAAACAATCCATCAGCAGACAGAGCAGAATGTCTAGCATACAAATTGTGAAATGTAATCTTCTTCTGACATCACCAGCATCACTGATGGTGGTGATGAAATCAAGAGATCAAGCTGGGCCTCTGCCTGCTCATCTGCTACTGCTGCCCTGGTTCCTGCTGGTGGACAACTCCTGTATGCCTGGTAGATAGATTCATCCTTGGGAGCTTCTGCTCTGCCGCCCTACCCCATGTGAGTAAAGGAATGGGGGTTGCTTGCAATGGAGTTCTCATTGAGATGGGGAGGGGGACATCCTCTCCCTTGCTACTGTCTCAGCTTCTGTCGGGTTATATCAGCTTCACCAAATTGCCAGATTTTTTCTGCCCAGCCACAAAGATCTGTGTGTCTGCCCTTTACTATTAAACTGATCATGTAAAACTAAGGATATCTTGCTCACCCATTTTTAAATGTTACTCGCCCTGAGCATATGGGCAAGGAAACAATTTCAAGAATACAGCCATTTGTTGGACAGACTTTTACCACATCATTTTGATCTGCTACTCCATTTTACTGGGGAGAAGCAGAGTGTTCAAAGATGTGGATATCAATATAGCCAGTAGTTAAGACCGACTGACAGTGAGCCTCTACTCAAGTGCTGACAGGACACTGTCTATCAGTGGCATTTCAACAAAGAAGCCAAGCTGTTGAAACAACCAGTGGAGATTGAACCAGTGGTACATCATAATGATAGGATACCAGTAGCTTTTTAAGTGTGCAGCAAGTAGTGTCCCACCACCCTCTCCCAACACTGATGAATGAGGCAGAAGCATCTTGGGATGCCATAGTTCCTTAAGGGCTGAGACAGTCAGGACTACAAGTGCCATGGGTACTTGCAAAGTATAGTTAGCAAGCTGCAGTCCGTCCACAAAACTGACTGGTAAAGTCACAACTCATGCAAAGAAAAAAAAATCAAGATAATCCAGCTCAAACATGGCAACTGCCTCTCCTTTATCTGTTAACATCAAGTAAAGTTCACCCCGATGCTGAGTGCTATGAAAAAGTTTATGACCCACTTAAGTCCTACGTAAGCCCTGAAAACAGAGGAATGCCCTATACTAATACTGTGATTTATTTTCTTGGTAGTTGCCACAGCTATATCTGCCCAAGAAAATGTGCTGTTTCTTCATATGGTCAGAAAAGGGTATCTCTATGTTATTTTAGGTAAAGTATACCATTGATTTCCCTTGAAGCAAATGCAGGACAACATGTTATGCATGTTCATTTTTTAAGAGGACTTTGCAGGGCAGACCTCTGTGATGGTATGCCTAAGATCCACCCCCCATAAGTTAATAAAACACATGAATGTGTTGTAATAAGTTAAATGCATTTGTTTAATGTAGGAGACAGTATTATTTCTCATTAAGACAAATCACCTGCAATTGATTACATTTTAAACATTAAACTTTTCCAATCACTGTTCAGTAAAGATTGTATTGAACTCACTTATAAATGGTTAAGTAATAGCCTGATGGAAATATTTGTCACATGCAACTGCAAAAGTTTTAATATCCTTCATTCTAAAGTGATATTCATCTTAAGGTGCAGAAAATTAAGCATCAACCACAATTTAACCCACATCCACATCTACATGGTAATGTACCCACAAGCCCTCCAAATATGCTGTTTTGGGGCACTGTCACCTAGGCACATGTACACAAATCAGTGGAAATTTTTAATTTATCATGAAAAACATTTTTTTCCAAAAAACTGTGTGGGATACAAATGTACCACACTGTTATCCTATATTTTTAGTATTTATATGGGCATATGTTTACTTCTAGTGAGAGTATCTTATATTGTAATAGTGGTAAATGTCTCCCCTCACTAAGCTAACTTGTCTTTTAAAAAAAAAAAAAACACACAAATGTAATTTGTCTATACTAACTGATAACACATTTGTGGTGTAATGTTGTACCCCACGAGGATATATGATGCAATAACTCATGAACTAGCGACCATCCAATTATGTTGTTTTAGGACATTGCATATGCTAATTGATAATGCATTGCCATGACAGTGGTTGATAGAGTCACCCTAAGATAGAGTCACCCAGGGATGTGTGAAAATTGCATTTCACAGGTTCACACAGAATGAGACTTCTGCTAGTTCTTTCAATTTGCTAGAAGTTTTTTTCACCTAAAACATTCCAAAAAATTCTATGTTTCTGAATGCATTTGGGGGACAAAAGTCCCCCACAACTTAAGTTAATGTAGCTTTTTCATAACTGGATTTTAATTTTTTTTTACCTAAAACATTATGAATTGTTCTTGGTTTCTGAATTTATTTGGGGTACAAATTTCCCCCATGATACAGTTAAATAAACTTTTTTCTTGATGCTGGATGAAGGTTAAGGCTTAATGGGTATTAAATCTGTAAATCCCTACACGTTAAAGTGAGATAATACATCTACATTTGCACTTCATAACAGCACAGAGTGTTTGTTCATAAGTCTAATAATATGAATAGTAATATAGTACTAACCCTATATAACTTCAGATTAAGTAGCATCTAAGTGAAGCACAGGCCTTGTGTGGGGTTCGCTGCACAGGGATAAATTTGGCCCTTAGACTGGCAATCGTATGGGCATCTCACAGTGAAATCTGTTTTATATAAACATTCCAGAGACTAAAAAAAGCACTTGAATGGAAGTTGTCTTCTAACAAAGGCAAAGTGGAAGACAGGAGACTGACTGACCCCACTGTGGTCTCTAGTACACATTTCATTGTCCAGCACTGGGCAGAGGGAGGCAGTGCTATGCTGGAGAGCAGACAGTGAGGAATACCTAATGTGGTGCTTTGCTTTGAAGATGCTGAAAAGATTAAAACTTTTAAACTGAAGGACTAAGATTAGTGTCCATGATAGCAGACACTGGGGTGATAGCCTGACCCCATTGAAGTCACTGGAAGTTTTGCCATGGATTTCGGTGGGGCAGAATTTCACCTTAAAAGTCCTTTAAAGTTTCTTTTACATAGTTGTCATGGGAAGAGGATATGTCCTATCAAGTAGATGGGGCAATGATTTCAATGGTAAGAGATTTGTTTTGTATTTACCTTTTTCATGAAGTTGTTAATTCATTGAAAAGGTGTGAGCAAAACCCTCACTCTGCTGAACTTAAAATAAACGTGAATGGCCCTAATAACAAAGCAATTTATTTTTCAGATTTCTATTGCAACGATAACTCCAGTTAAAATTCCACAAATACTATTTTATATGCATTATCTGGCTGTCTCTTTAACATATAAATGAAAAGATTATGTAAGAGTCTGTGTTTAATCTCCTCCAATGTGTGTTAAACATTGCAGAAAAAGAAGCCATTTTTTCTTGAAACAAGGAGGTTATTGACCTAGATAGCATAAACCTCACATCTACAATGTCAACAGAAAAAAAAAAATCACTGCTGAAAGCTTGAAAGTACTATTTGCCCACGTAAATTCAAAGGCATGGCCCCTTTTTATCTGTATATTTTTCATGCTCACTGCAATGTGAATGTCCGATTAAAAGCTTCTGCAAATAATCTGAGTGTGTAATTAGGGGCACACAGCTCCCAGACTGGGGTTAATACCCTCACAAACACGCAGATCTAGCTGGGAACAAATTCAGTTTCACTGTATTTTTCCTTGTATTTAAAATCTTCCTGTGTTTTGAACAACGATAAACTAAAAATGGATGTATCAACTTTTAGAACATCAGTAGTTGCCGAGATACGCATGTTACACATAGAAATAGGTTAACATTGCATATTAATATAATGTCCTGTTCATTTTTATCTCAATAAAAAAAGATCAATAATATTTCACCCAAGAGTTATTTTTATCTCCATAGCTTGGCATTACTGCACTGAAAAGTCCCATGAATAATGTGATATCAGGCATTACTAAGCCATGATTTATACAACATTTATAAAGTATGTTTTAGGAAAACTAAGTGGATGATATAAAGAATCAACAGGATTCCATTTTAATTGGTCTTGTTGGATTCCGAGGAGGTGGGCAGGCGCAAGCCCAGCCATGGCTAAAGGACCCTCCCCCAGCCTACTGGGAGGATCCACTGAGCCCAGGAACTTAATTACAGGGGACAACCGAAAAATATAACAAGGACAGGTGTGAAGGTCAAAAGATCAAAAAAAGGGAACCTGAATGGGTTAATTGATGCAGGTGGCCATTCATTCCACAGAAGTTGTATAATAGATAAATATATTGCAGAGAATTACATTGACAGTACAAAATATTTGTATTTTAATTGATGCAAGTGAGCAACAACCTGAAATGACTTGCATAAATTGCAGATGATTTTTTTTTACCATAGGAAACAAGAGCATCTGATTATCAAGAGATCTTTTTTGGGTTACCTGATGATCATGTCACTATGTGTGTCTCATTGCTGTGTGAGGAAGTTATTGGTTTTGAACTATAATGCTTTGATGTAATGAAACTGGACATCCCAGGGATTACTGTGTAAGTATAAATTCTGTCCCTCAATTAAAGACAGTCTGAGTCCCTCTACTTAACTACACACACACACACACACACACACACACAGCATCTTCTGAGTCGATGCCTTGGGTATAGAATGTCCTGCAGATACAGCTTGATCTTGCAACGTGGTGAGCACTCTGTCCCCAGTCCAGCACAGCATTTAACTTTAATGCACCATCAGAAAAATATTAATTCAACAAATGACCACATTAAAAAAATTCTGAGATGTAAGGCGTAGTCAAAGAAATACGTAGTTATCCTTGATAGCCATATTTGTTCTCTTAATGTGTAGGCATTTAAACCATTCCTTGAGAGGGTAGCCATGAATACTCATTTTACAAATCCAGACAATGATTCCAGGATTAAAAAAATTATTCAGCCAATGTCCTGCTTTGAACCATGAAAGGTAGGACATTGGCTACAGCTCATTTAACTGTATTTTAACTGCCATCTATATTTTTCTGAATTTCCTTTTCCATCGGTACTGATTACCACAATATTTGTATCTGAATAGAAATTTTTGCCTGTCTAATTTAGCCTGTTCATCTCTCTTGAGTCTTTCAGAGGTTAGGACATCAGTATCTTTAGAAGATAGAGAACTTTGGTGCATGCAAAAACTGGATTGTAACATGAAGCTAGGGAAGAGAAGCAATAGTAAAGGGTAAATTGGTAGATTAAGGTCCCCAACTGTGAATGCAATGCTGATTTCAAGATGACAGTTATTCTAGATGTAAGCCTCAGAGGTAGAAGGTTAAAAGGGAAAAGAAATTCTCAGTTCCCCCTATAGGAAAAAGGGAAAATGCTAGCTCCTGCAGGCTTAATTTACATGCAATTTCTCTGCAGTGTGGGTCTGTACAAATTTATGTTATATTTTATGGAATTTGTGTTCTGCTTTTGAAAATTATATTAATGGTGCGTGTAAATGTATTTGTGAAAGTTGAGAGAAATTATTACAGGGAAAAGCAGGCTGAACGGACAGGTAGTGGACTCTGGCTACTGAGCTCAAATTGAGAAGAGAAGAAGAGATCAGGGACTCTGTTGCTTTGCTTTGGATTTCCTGCCCTTGGATCCTGAAGGCTGTGTGAAACTGACTTGATAGGACTGACCTGGTAGAAGTGGAGCTGACTTTGTGGGGCTAAACTTACTAGCATCCAAGCTGGTAGAGCTGAGTTTGCTGAACTGTCCTGGCTCAGCTGCTACACAGGACAGTTGAATTCGCTGAACCCAACCTGGCCCGCTGGAGCTCACATTGTGGAATCCAAACTGGCAGTCAATAAATTTGTTAGTCTCTAAGGTGCCACAAGTACTCCTGTTCTTCTTTTTACAGATTGGAGTGGGGCTTGGTGGTGTTGACATCACTGCACTGGAGCAGCCAGGCTGAAGAATCGTCCCTGCACCTACTTGACCCCTCTGGAGGCTGATCAGGTTTGTGACTGATGTTTAGATAGGAGGGGATTGTATTTTATTAAGAGTTCTGGGGCCCCCAACAAGTGAGCAGAGAACGCTATGGGTTTGGCCAGACCACTCAAACCGAGTTTTGCCAATTCCATTTTACTCTGTAAATAGATGTTTCTCATTTTCCAAAAAAAGAAATTTGTGGTTTCATAGTCCCAAGGACTTCAGAGTTCTTGAAGCAGGGAAGAAACCCTTGTATCAGCGACCAGGGGAGTTAAATGTTAAGTTTCTGAAATGTCAGAATGGATAGGGTTTTAGATGGGACCTTGAGCCAATTATTTTAAACAGAACCCCTAGACATCATTTGAGCTCAGTGCCTACCTCTTGCTAATGAAACATGGCAGAAGAGTTGCATAATTTGAGATGGCAATGTTTATGTATTGTAATAGAAGTAAACTGCATCACAAACCTCAGGTTTTTAAAGTTTGTGTTGGTTCTGTTACTTCTTTTCAAAGTGTTCATACTGCTTTCTTCTGTCCAGAATTTATTGATTTTGGTAAAGTGAGAAACAGTGCAAGATAAGCTTCTTCAGCACTCTTTCCTTTCTGAACACACATGAGGAGCTCTCTTCAGTTATATCCAACCCTTGTATTAATGCAAATTCCTTACTATGAGACTCTTGCCCACTGGCTATTTAACACAATCTCAATAACTGGCTTGCCTCATTGTGCAGTAATAAACCTACTAGCCACAGCAATAAAACCAAAGCTATGTAGAGTTATTGTTTCAGAACTTCAGATGTAGGATGGACAGATATCTCCCTAACACGACAGATATATATGAACTATAGGCAACTTATTTAAAAGCAAAGAATTGATACTTCCAATTAATCAGTTTTGGTCTTCTGTTATTCTGTCACAGTTGGTAGACAAGTAGTGTGTTTTTGACGTTTCCATCTAGACAGAAGATCAGACACTGTGAAAGTAAGTGACAGTAAAGCTAATTAAAATACTTGGGTTCAGTTACATGAAATTTCAAAAGGGGGAAGAATGGGATGCTGCTCACCAACCATGGTGACCTTTTGCTCCTATAGCTAGTGCTGGGTGTAGGTGTGTGTGTGCGTGCGCAGGGGGCGGACAGGGGAACGACGACAACATTTGTTTAATATTTATATTGTGTACTAAATACAAAACTGCAAAGAAATATTTAATCTTGAAATAATTTCATATATAATGTATCAGACAACTACACTGAGGTCAAACTAGGTCTGAATTTGGCCCCAATATCCTGCACCCCTCACTGATTGTCAGGAGTTTTGCCTGAGTAAGGATTCAGAGCTAGGCCTTAAGAAAATAATCCCCTTTACACAGATACATGGTAAGGAGCAGCAGCACAGAAATGATTCTACATCTAATGTTCCACCTGGGGGGAAGTGGCAGGATAAGGCACATTCCCTCTTCCTACCTATTCCCCAGCTGCCACCAGATTCATTAGGGTCTTTACAAGGCAGGGTACCAATTAGTACAGACTTCAAGTCTTCTCCCAATCTGCCATAATCAGCCCCAATGCCCATGATTAAGGAGTATGGGTTTAAACTGCTGCTTCCCTATCCTGCACTGGCACAAAATATCCCTACTAAGATAACAGAATGATATGTGAATTGATTGTACAGTGGTAAACTGTAGATTGGAAAGTACTGACTTATGCAGTTAATGCAGAAATTGCTATGCTACTAAATGCCAAAAAGGGAACAATAGATGACTAAGCAGTTTTTCTGTTGTCCATAAAGGCAAAAACACCAACCACAAACAATGATTAAGAGTTTCATCAAGGAGAAAAGGCAAACAGTTGGAAGACATGGCTTCTTTTCTTTCCCTTGGCCTTTATGTTGCTTGGTGTATAGGAGAGCTGTTTAACAAAATGAATAGCACAAATAATGCTGTGAACACATGTTCTTTGTAAGTGGTCAAGATCTCTAGAGGACAGTGTATTAAATTGCAGATATTATCTATCTAAACCAAAAATCATAAAAGCATGAAATTAGTAATTGACTCAATTTACCTCGTTTATTAGTGGCATAGACCTCTGTTTGAATTAATATTGCCCAATGGAATTTCAAGTGGTAGTGACATGGCGTATCATGACACAAATTAGCGCCTGCTTCTATTACTGTACTTCAAGCCACCCATATCCCCCAATTAGGTTGGGTCTAATCTAATATGCATGCTTTCAGAATTTCTATTGACAATAAAATGTGACTGCTTTCCCCCCCTGTAATGTCATGTTCATTTTACATAACAGTTAATTTCCTCAGCATTATGTTGGCACTGGATAGTGGGTTACTGGTTATATTCTACCACAAACAGTTATATGCACTGTTACTGTGAGCCATACTACATGTTCTATTCAGTCACAATTAAGTTAATTAAAAGATAAAAAGTTATTTTATACATAAGACATACAAGTAGCTTGAACAGAATTTCACTGCAGCATGCTGGCCACCATGTTATAACAACAATTTCTCAGCTCATCACAACTGCATTTTATTATGGCGTGAATAAAAAGCAGGATGTTTAACTTTGTAGAATGATAGCTCAATTGTTTTGAAGGAGATTAGATAATTTACTAACAAAGATTTGTATATGACTGACTCTGACTATCAGAAAGGACTAATGATGTCTGCAATAGGACTACTAATTAGTCCTTGTTATAATGTTTTCCACATTCAATGGTCTATAGAAATATTAACTAATTTGTCCTAAAAAATATTCCCATAATGGCCTCTATTTTACAGATGGGGAAACTAAGGAACAGACAAATTAATTGGCTTCCCTAGTCACAGATGAAATAATGAGTCAGTCACAGAGCTCAGATTAGAACCTATGATGACCTCCCATTTTTCATCTGGATCACATTGCCTCACTTCAACCAACCATAAACCAAATGTCATAGTGCTATCAAAAGAAAATAGCTGATAGTTATGTAAGGATTCTAAAGTAACCTAACCTAAAAATATAAATACACATGTCTCAAAGTGCATAAGTCTCCAGCCCTACTCCTTTTCCCTCACTACAGCCTCCACACTGAGGGCATTGAAGACAGATAGCCACATTGGGATTCCATTCCACTTAGGGAAGATTCAGCTGGGTTGATTAAAGGTGGATGTCCAGAGCTGCTGGGTAGATGGGGAAGTGTCATCTGGCACGTCTGCTTCCATTTATTCTCTTTCATTTACACTTCTGATGAACATGCCCATTCTAGAGAAGATGCCCATCCAAATACCACGCTCTGAGGTGAAGCTACTAGTTCCCCATGTCAATTACTGCTGGGAAGTGGGCCTGGTCTTGCTGTGGTAGGTTGTTAGCAAAGTCCTCCTATTTTCTGTAATTCAGGAAGTCATATTTGGCAAGCAATGCTTGGTAATTCAAAATCCTAAATTGCAAACTGGGGGAAAAGAAAATCTTGCGGCCTAAAAGGTTCAGTCGCTTGCCCTCCCTGTCATATGGGGTGTAGCGTGGATGATGTTGTCTAGTCCATTGTGTGGCTGCCTGTACCACAAGTGACTTTGGAGGGGGTGTAGGAACAGAAACTCAGATCCCTTGGTTGGAGCACAGTATTTTTTTTCCCCTTTTGGGGTAGGCGTACATGTGGCCGGCATATGCCAAACTATTCTAGTTGGCTTAAGAATGGCATCATTGATTGGTAGAGTGACTCTGCTTGGCACTGATAAGTGAAATATATCCCAGCAGTTTATACTGAGCATCTTGGATCTCTTCCGGGGGAATGTGAAGTTCTCCTGCCACTCTACATAGGAGATCCTTAACTTGGTGATAGTCATCAGGGTATGGGGGAAGGTCAAAGCCACTTCTACATCAGGTGAGGATGATGGGAATCTCTTCTGTTCTGGTGGTAGCATTGGAGCCAGGCTGTGCAGCTCATCTTCCATTACTGGTTCGAAGCATCTACTTGAAGGCAATGAAATAGGAGATGCCTCCCTGACAGAACGGATGGGTTCCAAAGCTGGGTATTGGGGCCAGGCTCCCTCAAAAGGCAGCATGACTGATCCAAAGGGTGTGTGGAGGGTCCCACCGTGCCAGGAACCAGTGACTCCATGTTGGCTGGAGTGGAGAATACTGCCACTATGTAGAAGGCTGCCATTGGTACTTGTAGTGGCGAGACAAGATGGATGGTCTCTGATTCCCACCCAATTCCTTTGAAGACAAAAACTCTGAGACCAGTTCCATTGATGGTACTGTGAGCCAGCTGAAGAGTATGCCTCACCAGAGTGGCGGGAGGGGAGTGTCTCAGGTGCAGCATATCTGGTGCCGGAGATAATGTCTCCCTTGATTTAAACATCCTCAGAAGTTATGAGGTGTTGGTCTCCCAGGGCAAACACTTCCTGGTGCTCAGCACTTTTCGCAACCTCCCTGGGGCCAAGCACACTTTTTTAGTCCCCAGACTCGTACGGAAGCAATAGTCTTCCCTGGAGTGGATGGCTCTTTAGCTGTGAAGGGCACCGATGTTGACTGTGTGTGTGGGCCCGCACTTGGTACCAGTGGATCTGTCTCTTTATGTGGCTTCTTCTCATGTCTGTGCACTTTAGTGTGTTCCATCCCTATGATGAACTCATGGAAGGAGTCATTCCCTTCTTAGGTCTAGAGGAAGACTTACTGCCATGCTTATGTTCATGCTTCTTTACTTCCCAACTAGGCCTCAGTGCAGGATCCATAATAATGGTAATGCTGGAACTGGCCTCAGACTTCTCAGCTGGAGGCACACTTCAGGCAGCCTCTAGCCCTGTGTCTGGGATAGAGGGATTGCTCTGCCAGGATCCGAATGAGGTCTCATGGCGACTTCTATGAGGTGCTTCTGGAGAGCCTGGCCTTCTTGGGTATGGCTCGGGAAGGACTGGCAGATAGTGCACCTGGATGAAATGTGGGCTTCTCCCAAGCAGCAGAGGCCACTATGATGTTCATTGCTGACTGAGAAGGAACGCGGGCAGGAGGTGCAGATTTTAAAGCCAGGTTTTT